CACTAGGTGCACTTGTGTGTGTGTTTTATTTTTTGTAGAGATGAGATCTCCCTATATTGTCCAGGCTGATCCTGGCCTCAAGTGATACTCCTGCCTTGACCTCCCAAAGTGATGGGATTACAGGTGTGAGCCACTGCACCAGGCCTTTTATATGCTTTTTTAACATGAGAATGCCTTCCAAGTGTCCACCTGCACCCCAAAGAAAAATGGGCATAGATCTCAGAGGGCAGTTCTCCATGGTCAAGAAGTGGATAAAATGTTCACCCACTAACACAGTAAAGAACCTCCCTCCTCCCTGGGTGCCCAGTGCACCAGCAAGGCGTCCAGCCTTCCGGGGATGATGCGGCACATACACCCAAGCACAGGGCCCTCCCTGCCTCTTCTGCACACTGACAGCGCATTACACATAGCGTTTCACACCATGCTTTTTTTTTTTTTTTTTTTTTTTTTTTTCACCATGCTTTTTTTTTTTTTTTTTTTTTTTTTTTTTTGAGACGGAGGCTTGCTCTGTCACCAGGCTGGAGTGCAGTGGTGCAATCTCAGCTCACTGCAACCTCCGCCTCCTGGGTTCAAGCGATTCTTCCGCCTTAGCCTCCCGAGTAGCTGGGACTACAGGCACGCACCACCACGCCCAGCTATTTGTATTTTTAGTAGAGACGGGATTTCACCATGTTGGCCAGGATGGTCTCGATGTCTTGACCTCGTGATCCGCCCGCCTTGGCCTGCTACTTTTTATTTAACATCTATCTTAAGGAGCTTCTCAAAGGCTGCATCTACAGAATGGGAAAAACTGTTTGCAAACCGTATATCTGACAAAGGGTTACTATCTGTCTCAGTTTGGGCTGCTGTAACAAAATACCAGACTGGGTAGCTTAAACAACAGCCATTTATTTCTCACAGCTCTGGAGGCTGGGAAGACCAAGATGGCGGCCCAAGCAGGTTTCGTGTCTGGGGACGGAGGCTTCCTGGTTCACAGACGGCAGCCTCTAGCTGTGTCCTCACATGGCAGGAGGGGCAAAAGAGCTCCCTCGGGCCTCTTTTATAAGGGCACTAAATCTATGCACAAGGGCAGAGTCCTCATGACCTAATCATTTCCAACTGTCGACCTTAGGAATGAGATTTCAATATATGAATTTTGGGGGAACACAAACATTCAAGCCAGAGCAGTTAACCAAAATATATAAGGGACTCAAGTCAACAACAAAGAACAAATGACCCAGTGTATGCAAACATGCTCAATATCGCTGTTAGGGAAATGCAAATCAAAACCGCAATCACCTCCTACCTGGCAGGAAGGCTATTACTAAAAACAGAAGGTAACAAATGTTGGCAAGGCTACGGAGAAAAGGGAAGCCTAGCGAACTGTTGGTGGGAATGGAAATTAGCACAGCCTTTATGGAAAACAGTATGTTAGTTCCTCAAAAAGTTAACAATAGAACTACCATTTGATGCAGCAATCCCACTCTGGGAATACATATAAAAAGGAGATGAGGCCGGGCGCGGTGGTTCACGCCTGTAATCCCAGCACTTTGGGAGGCTGAGGCAGGCGGATGACGAGGTCAAGACATCGAGACCATCCTGGCCAACATGGTGAAACCCCGTCTCTACTAAAAATACAAAAATTAGCTGGGCGTGGTGGTATGTGCCTGTAGTCCCAGCTACTTGGGAGGCTGAGGCAGGAGAACTGCTTGAACCCGGAGGCGGAGGTGGCAGTGAGCCGAGATTGTGCCACTGCACTCCAGCCCAGCGCCTGGCAACACAGAGTGAGACTCTGTCTCAAAAAAAAAAAAAAAAAAGGAGATGAGATCATTATCCTGAAGAGATAGCTATACTCCCATGTTTGCCACAGCATTTTCCACAACTGCCAAACTATGAAAACAATCTCTGTGTCTGCTGATGGATGGATGGCATATGTAAATGAAAATGTGGCATATGTATTTTTTTTTACAAAGAAAGAAATCCTGTCATTTGCAAGAACATGGAGGAACCCGGAAGACATTATGTTAGCAGAAATAAGCCAGACACAGAAGGACAAATACCACGTGATGCCACTTATAAGAGGAATCAAAAATAGTCACACTCCTAGAAGCTGAGTAGAATGGTGGTTGCCAGGTGCTAGGGAGAGGAATATGGGGAGATACTGGTGATAGTCTGCCATATGAAGTAAGTCCATCCTGGAGACCTACTGTACAACACAGTGTCTACTATAGTTACTGTCAGCTGTACTTAAGCTTTGCTGAGGATAGATTCTATGTGAAGTGTTCTTATCACAAAACAACACAGAATGATCATCCTCATCATCATAACAGGCAGGAGGAAATTGTGGAGGTGATGGATGTTTATGGCAGATTGTGGTGGTTTCAGGAGTGTATACTTATTTCCAAACTCACCAAGTGGTGTACAATATGCACAGCTTTTTCCATGTTTTAGAAAAGGCTATGTCAGCAGCTGCAGTGCCTGGCTCTGTGGTACACCCGAATTTTTGCAGTTGCAGCCCTGCCGATGGGCATCTAGGATGTTTCTTTTTTGCTGCTACAAACAAAGGTCACCCCTGTACCCCCGAGAGTGTGCCCCTTGGGCATTCCTAGAAGTCTGTCTCCTGAATCAAGGACTAGTTTACTTTTAGGGCTACTCAAAAACTCCCTCTAAAGTTCTGCACCTATTACAAGCTCATCTCTGTATCTTTACCGACCTTATTCAAACCTTTTCATCCTTGCCAATTAGAGACAGGTAACAACAGTCTCATGCGGAAAACTTTCTGGTAGTTCAAAAGGCTTACATGTGTGCATCTCTTTGGATCAGAAATTCCACTTCTAGGAATATACCTTAGGAAAGAACACCGGACAGTTGACTGCAGCCAGTTTAGTGGGCCAGAGATATGTCCAAAACACACTTCGTGCTGTGCTTTAATTTTCATTTTTTTTGGGTTTAAGTAACAACAAACTTTCAAATAGGCAGAGGTGGAACACACTCCATCCTCCCTTGGCTCACCAGTCAGTGGCTTCCAATCACCATTACGGCCGGCAGGTCTCAACTGGGAACTTCTTATTTGAGTATTTTAAACAATTTGAAATAAAAATATTAAATATCAAATTAAAAATTAAATGCTTAATTTTCTCCTTTTAATTCCCTATTATGAAAACTCTAAAATACACATAGGGATAGCAACAAACTTCCTGTATGAGTCACCTAAGTCTGACAGTATTTTGCGTCGGCTACTTTCCCCTCATCTGCTGAAGCATTTTCAAGCAAGTACCAAGCTGATATTTCACGCCCAAATACTTCAGCATATGTCTCTAAAAAAGTAAGATTTTCTAAAGTAAACCACAGTAAAGCCATAATACCACGCAACAATATTCACAGTCCCTCCTCATCCATAGGGGATAAGTTCCAAGACCCTCTGTGGATAGTGGCAATCCCTATATAGCTTTTTTGGTACACAAATACCTATGATAAAGTTTAATTTATAAATGAGGCACAGGAAGAGATGAACAGTAATAGAGTAGAACAATTCTAACAATATGCTGCAATACAAGTGACGTAAATAGGCTCTCTTTCTCCAGGTATCCTATTGGATGGTACTCACCCTTTCTCTTTGCGATCTGTCGACGTGATGACTGAGTTGGTGGCTGAGTCACTAACGGGTATACATCACATACGGCCACTGAAGGTGGTTATGCAGATAGGTGGTGAGGCAAATGGCCCCCTCAAGAGATATGTCATCCACACTAACTCTTGGAGCCTGTGAATGTGACATTTGAAAAAAGGGTCTTTGCAGAGGTAATCAAGTTCAGAATCTTGAAATAGAGTTCATCCTGGATCATCCCACGGCCCTACATCCAGTGAGAAGAGTCTGTTAGGAGACACACAGAGGTGATCTGGTGGATGGAAGAGGAGGCAGCAGGTGAAGACAAAAGTCCACAATGTGGGATCGAACCCGCAACTAGCTCATGGACTTTGGCCTCCAGAACTGAGAATCATTTTTTGTTGTTTAAGCCATACAGTCCGGGGTTAACTCATTGCAGCCACAGGAAACACACACAGGACACATGATTCTACTTTTGTATGTATCTTGAAATGTTCACAATTCACAGAAAACCTAATGGCACATTTGTTGCAGGTGGAGTGAGACGACAAGGTGAGTGGCCCTGCAGAAGGAAGTGGATTCATGGGAGTGGGGACAAGTCACACAAAGGCTCTTCGAAGTCCGAATTGTAGCCCTCCTGGAACACCATGCCCTAGAGGTTCCCTGCCTGCCTCTCTTGCTGGGCCGCTCCTGTTCTGGACCTCATGAACACTGTCCACCTCAGGAACCTCTGCGTGGGTCATGCAGGTGGCCTCTGCTGCCACACACGTCGGCTCAGCCCAGAACATGCGTGCAGAGGCCACCGCCCTGTCCCTGCACCGCACCCTGCCCCACCTTTCTTCTTCACAGGCCTCTCCCTGCTTGGTGCAGCGGATCCCTTTCTGGTTGTCATCACTCCCTCCCTGGAAACTCCAGTGCATCCTGCAGGGCCTCAACACCCACTCTGTAGAAGACCACGGCCCATGAGTACATGCAGAGAACAGGGGCCAGCGGGAGACTCTGGGCTACGCTGGCCCTCTGGTGTGACTTTGAATAACCACCCCTTGCAGGGTTGCTGGAGGCACAGTGGGCAGTCCCTCAGCATCACCATGTCCCCTTCAGGGGCAGGGAGCCATCCTGTTGAGCACTGTGTGTGGCCTGTGCCCCATGCTGGCAAACCGGCGGCTCCCACTCAGTGAGTTAACTTGGTGTGCTGCTGGTGACACAGGCTGGCCCTGCTACCTGCACCTGCCTGCTGAGGTGCTCACATGACCTTGACTTCTGAGGGGACATTAGCATCAAATCTCTGACCAGGTTAACCCCAACATCGACTCCAGGCCGGAGAACGTCCCACAGCCATCAGGTCCCCATCCAAAGGGACCCCATGGGCTTTACCCTGAAGCCCTGGCCCAACCACTCAGAGGGAGGCGGGGCGACATGACACAGAAGGTTTATTCACACCTCTTCACCCGCCACAGTTCCACGTCCCAGCTCAGTGGGCCTGTTGGTGAGCCCCTCCGGCGAGTCTGTCTGCGAGAGTCCCTGTCCTGACTAACCGGTGAGTGGGCTCAGTCGGTGCTCAGGAAGACCCTCTTGCGTGCGGTATTGGTGTAAGGGTGCCAGCGCCACTCCACGTCTGCGGTGGCCTCCTGCTCCAGCGTGCCCAGGCGGATCATGTACACTGCAGGCAGGGATGTCATCAGCCCCGGCAAAGCCAGCCTCGCCTCCCAGCCCCAGAGATGGGATTCAGCCTCAAACTCACACTTCAGCTCAAAGCGGGGCCCGACCTCAGTGAGCTCCACGTTGCGGTGGTCTGTCTTCTTGTACACATGGTGCCTGGGAGGGAACAGCTGTGGGTCAATGGCAAGCAGCACAGGGTACACAGGGTGGGGACACCTGGGGCATGGCCTGTGGACCTACCGGAATGATATGTAGTCGTCCTGGTTTGCAAAGGTGATGACCCGGTGGCTGTCGTCTTTGGGCACAGGAAATAGGTATCGGAGGATGTCAGAGACCTGGACCACAAGGAAAGAGTGGGAAAGGGAGTAGCAAATGCCTGGCCTGGCCCACAGCCCTGGCCCAAAGGCCCCCAGACTTACCCGCTTGCCCAGGCGGGAGGAGAAGCCATGTGTGATGAGGTGGGGCTTGGCCTCCGACATGGTGCCCAGGTCTGGGATGTCATGCCGCATGACCACGTTGCACAGCGTGAAGTAGGCAGTAGGGCCAAAGGGCAGGTGGCTGACGATGAGCCCCACTGGCGGGGAAAGGTGGCTATCAGAGTCCCTGTCTACCCTCAGACCGCTCCCTCTCCCATCCCCACTCCCTCCCTCCGGCCTCACCAGGTGTGCCTCGATGCTCGTGGACGACCAGCAGGTCGGTCACACCGTTGGCTTTGCAGGCTCGCACCAGCGCCCCCACTTCATGTCGACCTCGGTTCATTCGCTGGGCTCCCGGGAACACGAGCTTCAGCTCCTGGACATGGATGGTAGTGGGCACTCAGAAACTGTGTCCTGGGTATCCCCCCCTCACTCCCTGCCCAACAGTACCTTTGCAAACATCTTGAGGCGGGAACTGGGGTCTCGGGAGGTAGTGATCATGACTTTGGGATCCTCGACTCCTGCCCATCGGTATTCATCATCCATGTGGCTGGTCACACCTGTCAGGACCACGAGGGAGGGGCAAGAATATGACAGGCTTGGGAGTGAAATGCTAACTTGGGGGCAGTCAAGACCGCCTGGATGGTGCTGTCTGATGAAGCCTTCAACAATAGGAATACTCCACACCCACGCTGGGCAAGAGGGCGGCCTCCAACTACTCTGGCTGCCAAGCACAAGTACAACGGAGGAACAGAATCTTTTGTTTAATTGTAGTTCACTTAAGCTATGTTAGTCACACGGGGCTAGCAGCTACTGTATGAGATAACGAAGTTCACACACCACTAAGGCCAATGGTGACAAACTCCTTTCCCTCATAACAAGTATCTATAATGTTTAGAATTCCTTTCTTGTTTCCTGAATAATGCAGTGAATTAAACGTATGGGCACCAATGATGTGTGAGGGACACTGTCTTGCTCTGCAGACACTGAAGTGAGGGAGGTAATTAAGAAACAAGGCGGGGAGTCAGTGGGGCACTCCCATGTGTGCCATGTAAGTGGGACAGGGCACAGTCAGGGAGAGCCCTGCGATGCCATCTGTGCAGACACAGGGCATGGGGGACAATTCCAGGAGCAGTTTCCTCCAATGGGAAAGCGCCCAGCGTGTCTGAGGAAGGAGTGGAGACCAGCTTGCTCAGTGTTGGAGAGGGCTACCCTGTATAGTTACCTTCACCGCCAGCATCATCAAACTCCAGGGACCCCTGTAAGGCCAGAGCTTCCCGGCGTAACTCAGTGGGAATCAGGCGGTTTTCTGCAGGGGGAAGAGAGAAGGGTTGAGTGGGTCACAAGCACGGAGCCCTCAGTTCATACAATACACTGCAGCTTACAAGCCCATACACTCTTCAAGTAAAAATACCTCAGTCTTTTCTGGGCTAGGATACAGCAGGGATAGAGGTGACAAAATTTTCTGTCTGCTGGCCAACCCATAAACAGTGGTTACTGGGACTTCATTTCTTTTTAATTTTTTTTAATTGCATTTTAGGTTTTGGGGTACATGTGAAGGACATGCAAGATTGTTGCACAGGTATACACGTGGCAGTGTGATTTGCTGCCTTCCTCTCCATCACCTATATCTGGCGTTTCTCCCCATGCTCTCTCTCCCCAACTCCCCACCCCGCTATGTCCCTCCCCTATTTCCCCCCAACAGACCCCAGTGTGTAGTACTCCCCTCCCTGTGTCCATGTGTTCTCATTGCTCAATACCCGCCTACGAGTGAGAACATGCGGTGTTTGATTTTCTGCTCTTGTGCTGGGACTTCATTTTCTTGAGTCTGATGACTTGAGGACTTTGTTAACATATTATATTGTTTTAATTATCAGACAAAAACCTAAAAATTACTTTTCTTTTTCTTTTTTATGAGGAAGAGTCTAACTCTGTTGCCCAGGCTGGAGTGCAGTAGCGGCAATCTAAGTTCACTGCAACCTCTGCCTCCCAGGTTCAAGTGATTCTCCTGCCTCAGCCTCCCAAGTAGATGGGATTACAGGCATGCGCCACTATACCGGTTAATTTTTGTAGAGACAGGGTTTTGCCATGTTGGCCAGGCTAGTCTCGAACTCCTCGACTCAACTGATCCTAAGTGCTGGGATTACAGGCGTGAGCCACTGAGCCCGGCCTTAAAAATTACTTTTTAAAAGAAATACAGGCTGTTCTGTATGTATGAAGGTGGACCAGAAGCCTTTAAGCTCTCAGACAGCAAAACGGCTGGTCACGATGCCCATACTTTTTCGAGGGCACGGCTTCAGCGGGCCCTGAGCCGCAGACTGCCCACCGCAGAGGACAGCTCTCCAGGCGTGCACTCCGGGCCAGCACTGTTCTCTACGACGCCCGAACGAACTCCTGCAGGGAGGATGGGCAGCACAGTCTGCAGCACCAGCGCTATCCAGATAGTCTCTAGAATTTCTATGGAACAAGGTAAAGTCTTTAAAACTTGGGAAAAACTTGACACACTGTACGCAGTGGGCAAGCTGCAAAACCCGGGGACCGCAGCGTCAATGACAAGTAATTAGCACCATCACACGGAAGGAACATTCTCAAAACCAACAGGAGAACCCGACGGGCAAGGAAAACGGCCGGCAAGCCTTTGGAAAAACCCTCGGCTATCCGAACACAAACGCTTGCGGGCGTTTTACCGCGCAGACGCCCGCTGGGCGACCGCCCTACCTTCGAGCGCGCGCCGCAGCCGCTCCTTCTTCTCCTGGGCCGAGCGCTGCGCCTCCTCGCGGGCCTTGCGGTACAGGTACTCGCGGCGCAGGCGGGCCTCGCGGCGCAGCTATGAAAACAGCGGGCCAGGTCACCACTCGCTCCCGAGCCCCGGGATCCCCTGGAAGCCCCGAGCCCCGCGGCCCCAGGGCCACACCCCCAGCACTTCGTGCGCCTTGGACCTCCGAAACAGGAGCTCAAACACCCTCTTACCATCTTGAGCGCCGCTTCCACGTGGGTCAGGGAAAATCTGTGGGTTCCGCCCTCAACCAAGAAAGTCCCTTAGACACGTCACTGGTGCCTGCAGCTGTCGCGAATGCCCTATGTTAAGATGGCGACAGCGCGGGGCGGGTTGGGGGAAGCGTCGCAAGGCGATTGGCCATTCCGCAGCGCGTGCTCTCTGACAACCAATAGACTGGATACAGGATGTTGTCACGTGGCTTAGGACTGCCGCTAATAAAGATGTCCGCCTGCAGCTACACCACCACCCCCGTGCAGAATGCAGTTCTGAGATGCTGAACCGCTAAAATAATCATAATTGGCAGCTCGAAACAGTTCATTAACTGTAAAAACGGCACACCGACTGATCTGGAGGTTGCTTGCCGGCTCCTTCCCAAGTTAACTTTAAAACTACTCTTCCCTTAACCAAAATGGCTGCGGTACAGCTTCGCCTATCTTCCACCGCCACAGCAGTAGCCCGACTTCTGAGATTCCGCAGCTTCCGGAAGCGACTCAGAACCACCTGTCACCCTAGGCAACAGCCCAGCTGGCTGATCCACTTGGAGGCTAATTGGAGAAACCCGTTGATCGGTTGCGCCCCTAATGCTTCTCTAAGGCCGTTTGCCCTTAAAGGAGCAGACCGAGACGCGTCGGCGCGGCCGGCGTCGGGGTCCCCGGCTGGGAACGCCCCTTGAGAGAAGATCTCGTGTGCCAATTGGCTGTCCTGACAAACTGGGGGCGGTGATTGGGCGACTAGGAAGAAGGTGGCTCCAGACCCGAATGTGTCGCCATGGCGGCGCCTGACCTGCGAGCGGAGCTAGACTCACTGCTCCTGCAGCTGCTTGGGGACCTGGAGGAGCTGGAGGGGAAGCGAGCGGTGTTGAACACCCGGGTGGAGGAGGTAGGCGGCTGGGGCGGGCAGGAGGGCACACGGCGGTAAACTGTCTCACCGCTCTCCTCTCCCTGCAGGGCTGGCTCTCACTGGCCAAGGCTCGCTACGCTATGGGCGCCAAGTCGGTGGGGCCCCTGCAGTATGCTTCCCACATGGAGCCCCAGGTCTGCCTCCACACCAGGTGAGGAATTTTACACGCTGGACTGCGTGGGCGGGCTCGCTCCAGGCCCGGCGTGCCAGAGTTCCATCCTCCCTTCTTGTCCTTCAGCGAGGCCCAGGAGGGACTCCAGAAGTTCAAGGTGGTGAGAGCTGGCGTCCACACCCCAGAGGAGGTGGGGCCTGGCGAAGCAGGTGAGCCCCAACCTCCTTCTGCAGACCCCCTTCCCAGTGTCAAAGGCAAAATGCAAATAATTGAGGTGATGGTTTTGGTTAGGTTTTTGCGTAGAAGAGAGCACCCCAGAGATGAAGAGCAGAATGTTCCTGTAGGGTGGTTTTGCCTTAGACTTTTATAGGGAGAATTAGAGAAGTTGAGTTACTTTACATTGGGGATAGTTTTACAGTCACGGAAATCTCAGCTGAACAGATAATATTCGTCTGTGTGCCTAACTAGTTTCAGAGGGACAAACTTCTCATCCCAGTTAATCATTCGTGAGACAAAGAACGGGGAGTTGGAGAGTCTGTGACTGGCCTATCAGCATGTTCAGGTACAGTGGGTAAGGTCAGTGTGTGGCCTTGTCACAGGCAAGCAGGGTCATCCGTGGGTCTCACAGGAGTCACGGGAGAGAGTGGACAGTCTCATCTGAATCACAGGCCGTGCTTTGTGGTAAGCTGTTTCCCGGAATCTAGAACCGTGAGCTCAGATCAAGCTCAGCATTGTCACCAAGATGATAAAGGCAGGGAGTAACATCCCAGCTTCCTCCAGCCTTTCTTTCCTCAGCTCTGCGCAGGCGCAAGGGCCCTGCTAAGACCCCAGAGCCACAGTCTTCTGAGGCCCCTCAGGACCCCCTGAACTGGTTTGGAATCCTGGTTCCTCACAGTCTACGCCAGGCTCAAGCAAGTTTCCGGGATGGTGAGTGTACCCTGCCATTTGGCTGTGTGGCCCTGGGCTAAATTCAGACCCTCTATCCCCAGGAAACACTTGCACACTGCTGCCATGGCTGGGGTTAGTCTCTGAAAGGCTTTGCAAGTTTTTTTTCCATTGCAAATTTCTGTTGTATACCCATTGTTTTTTTTTCCAAAAAGCATTTACTGGCTGTTGGCCGCATTCAGGTTCATGCTAACTGCTGGGGATAGAGCAAGGAACAAAAGAGACAAACACCTTCCATGTAATGTTTAGGAGCAGAGAAAGGCAATGTGCAAATAAGTTAAGTAGACCCTTAACGTGAATCAGGCTGTGAAAATTGTTATGAAAAACACAGAATGGACTGGGACAGGGGAGGTCTCTCTGAGGAGGTGAAGGAAAAGCTTTGGGGGTGATTTTGGGGAGCAGTGCTCTAGACGGAGGGACCAGTTGGGATGAAAGCCTTGAAGCCAGATAGATCTGGTGTGTGCTGTGACCGGTGGGCTAGAGTGGAGTCAGGTGATGTAGGCCCTGATGAAGACTTTGGGAGCCACAGGGAGGCCCTGAGCAGAGGATGGTGCAACTGGATGCACAGGGTCACAGGAATCCTTGGGTGCTGAGTGGGGACACAGAGCAGAGGGAGGAAGCAGGGGTCAGGGAGCAGCCAGGGTGAGAAGCAGGTAGAGTCACTGGAGGAGAGGGTAAGTGGTGGGAACCTGCACAGGTTTTAAGAGTAGAAGCCCCAGAATTTACTGACAGATAAGATGGAAGTAAGGGAAGGAAAGGAGAGTCCAGGAGAGCCACTGGTCTCTGCCCCAGAACCCCTGGGAGAATGAAGCGACCGTCACCTGCTGTGGGCAGCTGAAGACGTGGCGGAAGGCAGGAGTCGATGTGGTCTGTGTGGTGTCCACCGACGCCCTGTTGGAGAGTTTGAGTGGGCGTTTGGGCACTTGGGCACATAAATCTGGAGTCTTGGAGAGGCCTGGGCTGGAGAGAGATTTGGGAGTCCACTGCATAGCACTGTTGTTTAAATTTCAAAGATGTTGACACAAACACTGATTTAAAGCTGAGATAGGATGAGATGAGAAGAGGCCTGGGGAGTATGGATGGGAGGTGAGGGAGAGGAGGGGAGGAGCCAGTCAAGGAAACTGAGGAGCAACACCAGGGGGCAGGTATCCTGGAGGCCAAGAAGAGAGAGTGTTTCCTGGAGCAGTGGTCAGCCCTGCTGTTGAACAGGAGGCTGAAGACAGGGCTGCCCGGAGGCCTGGGCAGCAGCTGTTCCAGTAGAGACATCAGGCATAAGCCACCCAGAGGTGGACCCAGAGTGTGGATCACTCTTGGGGCAAAGAAAAGAAGTGGAGGGAGAGCAGGTGAGGGCAGCGAGGGGCTGTAATAATGGGGAGAGAGAGGAAATGAGGGTATGAGATACTATTACTCTCTGAATTTTTAGTTCCTGGTGAGTGATATAGTGGGTCCAGGAAGTCTGAGGTAACATTTTAGCAAAGACCTGAAGGGGGTGTAAGGCTGCGGAGGTTCTGGAGCAGCCAGTGCAGGGCTGTACCTGGAATGTTTTGGACAAGTGTGGGGTCAGAGAGGCCTGGAGCCTTTCCAGTATCCTGGGATGTCCAGATCGTCCTGGGTCATGTGTTATACCACAGATACTATGGTGACCTTCTTTCCTTTCCTCCAGGCCTGCAGCTGGCTGCAGACATAGCCAGCCTTCAGAACCGCATCGACTGGGGTCGAAACCAGATCCGGGGGCTCCAAAAGAAACTGAAGCAGCTCGAGCCTGGTGCTGCCTGACGTGCGGGCACAGAGGCAGGGCAGCGCGCACAGAGGCAGGGCAGCGAGCACAGCTCTTCTTGGACATGACTGCTTGATCTCAGGCCTTCTCCCTTCACAAATAGCTCTTGCCCCTACCCCATGCCAGCTAATGCCCCCTCCGTCCCCCTGCTTTGCATGTTTCCATCTTCCTTAGGTGTGAAGTTTGAAGAGGCAAACAGTAATTTTGAAAGCCACTACTTTGAAACCATTCCGAGGCCTGGGTTCCCATGCACTCACATGGGCAGGCACACATTAGTCAACAATTGGAACTGCCTGTTGGATCACTCTGCTGTGCGTTCATGGCTGGATGATAGGACACTGTGAGAAGAGAGGTGGGGGAGGACAGGAAGTTTACTTCATGTTTACTACATCCTCCAAACTGACTTTCCTGGAGGAGAAAACCATACTCGGCCAATGATCAGGGCAGTATGACTTGAGTCAACAAAGATACAAACGCCTGAGTAGATGGGCAGCCCTTGGCCGGTCTAAGCCAGAAACTGAAAATGACCTGGCCTAGATTTTTAAGGAAACTAGAGGAAGAGACCTAAGTTTTTAAAATTCTTCCTCCATCTTACCATAGCCTCTCTTCATTTTTTTGAAGGGCTACTTGTGTTTTCTATTCTGGGAACTTCATTCATTTTTCTACTGGGTTGTTGATCTTTGCAATAATTTCTAGGAGTTGTTTATGTTTGGGGGGGTGGAATTCATCCTTTGTTCATGTATATGAGATGTAAATCTTTTTTTCCGGTTTATCTTTTCACTTACAATTTTTTGACTTTTTATTGTGAAATAAAATATACTACATCAAACTACACAAAACAGTTGAATAGCTTAATGAATAACTATGGTAAAAGCATGCTAACCACTGCCCAACTCTTGTGTTTTTTGATCAGTATATGTATGTAGAGTTGAATGTATCCAGCTGTCACATGATTTCTGAATTTGGGGTTGTAATTGATAAGGCAATAAGGGAATTCTCCAGTGTTGGAAATAGATGTTGGAAATGGATGCTCAGTGCCGCAAAGAAAAATTAGCACTGAGACAAGGGATCTTTCAGTAACGCAGTTTTTACTTCCTGGACTGCAGGAAGGGTACTCCCGGTAGCCATTGTGCCACGAGAATACGAAAAACAAAGGAGAACACACAGATTTATTTCTTACACATTTGGGGTCGTCCTTACTGCTGTGTCTGATCTCCATTGGCTGAAGCCAGACCTCACAATCTAAACTAAAACCCAATTGGCTAACAACATAAAACTTTTCTAAACAGGTAAAAGCACTGGGGAGCTGGGACATGCCTGTGAGCACGTCCAGCACAGATCTCTTGGTTAAAGTACAAAGACATAGAATGTACTACAAGCCTGTAAGCATGGCATGTTAAACACCTACATAGGATACAGCTTAACAGAAAGGACATTTTAAAAAGGAACTTTTCTACTTCCCACAATTCCCTCCTCTTTTACTTTATAATTCTCCTTTTTAACCCCCTCCCCCCCCTTTTTTTTTTTTAACATGTCTTGGCTTAGTTATTCTGCCCAAGTTTCTAAAAGAAAAAGTTTCCCTCTTTTCTCTTTACACTATTTCTTTAGTTTTACTTCTGTCTTGCTCTCTTTCATATATTCTCTTATAATTTTCTGACATACCTTAACCCTTTTTTAACATCTTGCTGGCCGGAGCAGGAAAGTTACTGGCACATTTATTTTTTAACAAGAAAGGTAACTTTAAGAAGGAACTTTTCTAATTCCCACATCCAGCATTTTCAAGAACCTCTGGTTTCAGTTGAAATGACCAGTGAGTACCATCCAGCTTTTCCACCATCCACCCACATGCTGTATGTCAATTAATCTTAGTGTTGCTAATTCCCAATGTAAACCCAATGTAATTTGGGGGTTTTCATTCTGTTTCGTGGACCTTACTGTCAGTACACCAGTACACTGTTTCATATCGTGAACCTTTAACATAATCCCCATAGGGCACATTTGTCATTGGGTTGAGGGGTCGTTTATTGGCCCTGTTGAGTTGCCAGGGAAAAGACTAATGGGGGAGCTCAAATGGACTCCCCCCACCCCCGTGACTGCAGGAAAAACGTATCTGCCTCCAACCCTCACCAAAGGTTGTCTTTCATAAGATGCTATCCACGAGGTGTCAGTTAGTGAGATTCTGAAGCCAAAGTAAGGAAAAAAATAAGTCAATTTTGCTGGGGCCACAAATTCTTCCCCGAGGAGGTGCGACCCCGTGGAGCACACCCTTCGCTGCTGGTGGTGGGTGGGCGCCAGGGTGGGCACGCACCTCCCACCCCTGGCTTGCGCTGTGCTCTCAGGTGGCCATGCTCCTGTCAGGGCGAGGCCACCGGCTCTGTAAATGGGGTTGATGAAGACAGCAAATCTTCAGCAAAGCATCCTTGACTCGCTGCCCTGACCTTCTGCCCTGACTGCAGCTCTCAGGGAGACCGTCAGGAAAGTGGATTCTATCTGCGGGGGGAAGGCGGCTTGTCCCACCAAGGCTAAGTCGGGAGGGGTCCAGGCAGCGGGTCTGGCGCGGCTGCAGTCACGAGGGCTTCCATAGGCACAGCAGGAGCCCAGTGCTGCGCAGCAGGGGCAGCCAGGGGCTGGTGCGGAGCTGATGCATATCACGTATATAGAGATTGTGGCACCACCCTCCCGTAGTTCCCATATGGTCTAGCGGTTAGGATTCCTGGTTTTCACCCAGGCGGCCCGGGTTCGACTCCCGGTATGGGAACAAGAGTGATTCTTTTTCCTTTTTTTTGCGGGTGTATACGTTTTCTTTCAACTTGAAAGTGTTCGCCAGAATTTTGGCTTCTCACCACTAGAACGCCCCAGGCCAAACTGGATATTTCCTCTTCATCTGAACTTGGAGAAACAGCCCCAGAGAGATCAGGATCCCAACGCTGTGTTTTGTTGGCAGTGACCATTTACATCACGGCATTAGCGAGTTGTTTTGACCATCAACAGCTTACTGAGTATATTAGATGCCATATGCATCATAGTTGTGAATGTTAGAAATAGTGAAATGCCCAATAACTTTGAAATTATTCAAAATGTGTTGCTGTGGAACCCTGCAGAAGGCAGGCCTCACTGGTACCCATCGCCCCAGTGCACCTGCCCGGTTTGGCAGGGGCTGCCTTGAGTCCGTAAGCAAACTCTGCGAGGTGGAAATAGGAAGTCCTAGGAAGTCTACGGGGAGCAAACACTCTGGAAGTGTTTACCTTTCTCTCTAGCTGCTGCTTTGGACCAGTTGCAGGAATCCTGTTTTCTCACTGGGAAAGTGGAGGTTTTCTGCATGCCTCCACTCCCCCAGCAGAAAACCAAATTCCAACAATGGCTCTGTGCCAGCACACACACACACACACACACACATGCACACACACGCACACGCACGCACACAAGACACACGTCCCATGGAAAGGAGAACCCAGCTGGGCCAGGCAGGTTCCCAACTGCTTGGGAGGCTAAGCCCAGAAGATCACTGGAGCCCGGGAGGTTGAAGCTGCTGAGATGGAGGATCGCCTGAATCTGGGAGGTTGAGGCTGCTGAGATGGAGGATCGCCTGAATCTGGGAGGTTGAGGCTGCGGTGAGCCGAGATTGAGCCAGTACCCTCCAGCCTGGGCCACAGACTCAGAACCCTTATCTAAAAAAGACATTGTTTTTTGGCTTGCTTGCTTAATTAATCCAGGGACTTTTTTTTTTTTTTTTCCCTTGGGACGGAGTTTCGCTCTTGTTACCCAGGCTGGAGTGCAATGGCGCGATCTCGGCTCACCGCAACCTCTGCCTCCTGGGTTCAAGCAATTCTCCTGCCTCAGCCTCCTGAGTAGCTGGGATTACAGGCACGTGCCACCATGCCCAGCTAATTTTTTGTATTTTTAGTAGAGACGGGGTTTCACCACGTTGACCAGGATGGTATCGATCTCTTGACCTCATGATCTACCCGCCTTGGCCTCCCAAAGTGCTGGGATTACAGGATTGAGCCACCGCGCCCAGCCCTCCAGGGACGTTATATGCAGGGCTGAGGTTCTGTCTTCAGGAATTACTGCCACACGCATTCATTCATTCATTCATTCATTCATATCTTTGCTGTTTTAATAAATTATTTCTATAATTATTGCTATTAAGCATACCAACGAAAATTTTTGTTCTGGCACGTAAACAGCTTCAAAATCATCACTTCCTTTCTTAAAACAAGAAAAAATCTGAACGAACTGGAAAATCAACAACTCTTAGATCCCTCAGAAAACTGAGGTCATGGGGCAAACCACTCCCCTAAAAATTAGAAGGAAAAGCAAATACAGAGTCACAGCTTACCTGGCACAGAAGCTGCTGCTGCTGCAGCCGGCAACTGCTAGGGAAACTTACAAGGTAATTGACTAACGGCTGGAGCTGGGGCATGTGAGCATAAGAGAGAAAAACTGCTGGGGACCTAGCCTTAAGGGGCTCCCACACTCTGATGGGTTTTACCTCCGGGAACTCTATCAGGTTCTTGGGTGAAAAGCAGAGAAAAATCTGCTGGAGCTTCTGGCAAGGAGAGGGCAGAGTAACCACTTTGAAAGGCACACGGAATGTTCTGTTCTCCTTAACAAAGGCTTACAGTCAGCAACTATCAGAGCATACTCAACCCAAGGGAAGGAAAATATTGCCTTCCAGCCCACTCTAATCTTCCAATCTCAGATTAAAAAAAGTTGAGAAGCACTTGTGAGGGGCACAGCCTAGGGATCACTGGTTCACGAAAAGACTGATCATGGGTTTGTAGACCACTACCTGCTGTCCCCACATCTTACTGCCACATCACTTAGGGCTCCTATATATTAACAAGGGATTAGAGCTGAAAGAACTCCAAGGCCCAGAATTTATGTAAGACGCAACCTCTAGGGAAACTAAAGGCAACAGGGGATGCAAAAACAAGGACACTAGAGGAAATTTTAGCCTCTGACATTTACAGCTACAGCCAACAAGAAACACACCCTTGCTCCTTAGAACTGAGCCTATTTACCTCAGTTCCTTTTACCTTATGCATTATGTTTGGCTTTCAACAAAAAAATTACAAGATGGATAAAACATTTCTGCAGCAGAGTGCCTCCATCAGCCAGTTTCCTGCCTGTGGAATTTTGGAAGCCGCATGGCCTTCCTTTATTTCATTCCATCTCTGTCCCTTGGAGTCCAGGCTGCCATGTTTCCACTGCTATAAAAGTCTCAAAACCTTGGTCTCCTGCATAATTGATAAGGTTTCAGCCGACAGACGAACGGGTCCTCCACAGATCTTTCCTGGGTAACCCCATCTCTATTTCTGGTTTCTGCCGAGATGGTGGAGTGGTTCCATGAGTCACATGTCCAATATTTTTAGCAAAATGTTATCCAGCCACACCCTTGGTCCTCTTTCCAGAGTACACTTTCTAACAGTGAGTTTCCTGATTTTCATATCCTTTGTAATCTGGTCATTGCAAGAGCCCCTAAATAATCAAGTGTCAGCCCCTTTCTGCTTGACTGTTCTTCACTCAATGTTCCTCTTACCTCTCACATTTCCTATTACAGTAGCAGCAAGCAGGCTGTACCCTCAACACTTCGCTTAGAAATCTCCTCAACTGCCGGGCGTGGTGGCTCAAGCCTGTAATCCCAGCACTTTGGGAGGCTGAGGTGGGTGGATCACGAAGTCAAGAGATCGAGACCATCCTGGTCAACATGGTGAAACCCCATCTCTACTAAAAATACAAAACATTAGCTGGGCATGGTGGCGTGTCCCTGTAATCCCAGCTACTCAGGAGGTTGAGGCAGAATTGCCTGAACCCGGGAGGCGGAGGTTGCGGTGAGCCGAGATCGTGCCATTGCACTCCAGCCTGGGTAACCAGAGTGAAACTCCGTCTCAAAAAAAAAAAACAAAAAAACGCAAAACTCCTCAACTAAATATCCAAACTCATTACTTAT